CAAACCACTTGGTGTATTTACAATAATAACAAAACCCGGCTACAAACACAAGCATTGATATCATTCGCCCTCTGCGACCACCGATGGAAAGAGCTTAATCGGAGCTTCTAAAGCGGCAACTTCACCACCCTTCAACTCCAGTTGCTTATTCAAATATTCATGTATGAAATCTCGCACCGTAATGCACCCTCTTTCGGCCGGTAGCCGGAGTGGACGAGATGGCAAGTTCGGTTAGATCGTCCACCTTCGCATTACACTGAAGTAGCTCACGACTCACTATGATCGCACCTGGTCTGTGGTTGTTGAATCTCCCATACCAGTGAACCTTGTATTCCTGCTCACGCAGAACTGCAAAAATCAGAACATGAAAATACAGAAATCGTGGCCTTCTCTCTGCCTGATGTAAGATCTGGCGAAATATATATTCCCCAATGTTGAAATCCAATTCCCGACCCACGGAGAATAGTAACTCCGCCTTACCCAGTGACACGTCATTATTGTCACTAGTCGGGTACCAATTGGATGAGCCAATCTCGTGCAGAAGCCAATATTTCTTTGCCAGGTGGTCCCGCAAACCCTAGACTCCGGCCAATGTTCTATTCTGTCTCCAGTTAGCTCTCTCGCAATCTCCTCAGCTGAAGCCCCAGATGTCACCCCTCCGACGTCCTTGGTGCCCAAAACCTGATTCAACCTAGTCGAGTTGAACTAAAAAACCTCCCCGTGGACATACACTTGCCCAAAAGTATGTGGATCCACTTACCCCAGCCATTTTCTCCAAGTTCGCATTAAAGTCACGCACAACCCCTTCCTCAAAAGCTATTCTGGCCGGATTATCCGACAACACTACGGTCCCCATGAAATGGCTCCCTTCCAAGAGATAAGTGACACCCCAACGGGTCAAACTCCCGTGAACCGGCCTCTCAACCATAAACTTCAACCCCTCCAACTGTTCTCTCAACCTCGTTGTCCTGTCATTGTAAAAGAAGTAATCCCTAGCAACCAGTTTGTCGTAACCCATCTCAAACAACCCGTCGTCGGTTGATCTGCAAACCGATCTCTGTCTTTTACGCGAGCAAGACATTATGTAAGTTAGGGTTGAGGAGGGAGGGAGATATAATTGAAGATGAGAAGATTACTGAATATTTTCAGGCTGATTCTCACACTACGGCCTGATGTGGATGGTGCGGTTAAAAGAGGGTTAGCTGAAACCCAAGCGTCTTGAGGATATTTGCACGACAACCGAGGGTTAGATGAAACCCAAGCGTCTTGAGGATATTCGCACGACAACTGAGGTTGTGGGTAAAATTTTAATATTAGATGTTAAAATTATGTCCAAAAACAAATATTTAATTAATATAAACTTATTAGATTAGAACATATTATTATATTACGGTGTGAATAACTTCATTACGCAAGATGTTTTTTTTATATATTTCAAATGGTTAAATATCAATATTCGACATTCACAATACATCAACAAATAAACATATTATAAAGGCAAAAAACTACTTATCATTTATATTAAATTATAAATCAAACTTTTTAGTATACATACTGCATTACAAATGAAAAAAGTAAATTCCACAAAAAAAAAAAAAAAAAATAGAACCCTTTCAAGTGTAGATTTATGAATGTAATTAAAATTCAATTAATTGAATACAAACATTTCAAGTGTGTTTTGTACCTATCGAAATAAAAAGCACAGATCTATACAGAAATGTCATAATCGAATTCAACCAGTTTGTTTGGATTCCAAAGAAAAGTAAATTGGAATCCTAACAATTCAAGTGTGTTTTCTACCTGCATATACCAACCAAAAGCACAATACTATACTGAAATGTCATAATTGAATCCAACCAGTTTGTTTGGATTCCAATGAAAAGGAAATTGGAATCCAAACGATTCAACTGTGTTTTCTACCTGCATATCCGACCCAAAGTCCATCACAC